GATTTCACTCATGTCATTTTCATCATCAAATTCAGATACATTTTCAACATCAAGAGTATTTTTTGAACTTAATTTGGTGCATAATGAGTCAAATTTCTGTACAGTATCATATTTAATCTGCTCTTTATCTTTTTTACTCAAAATTTGTTTCAACATATCTTTATGTTCTTTGGACTGAATATAAGCTTCAATTTTGTCTAGTCCTACTTTGTAAGATTCGGAGACATCGTCAGAAGAAACGATAGATTCGCATTTGTAGCAGTCTACATCAATTTCGTCCTCTTTCAATTCGAGAAAATGCATAATCATTTTATGTATATTCTTCCCTATTTCACAGTCAATATGTTGCTAAGTAATATTAAAATAAAGACGTTTAGCAATCAAGCAGAAAATGTTTCGTTGTTTCAAAAGCCCTAAATTGTCTCGTTGCAAATAAATCAAATCATCCCTAGACCTAGACAAATCCAACTCTAACTTCTCAATCCACATCCGCCTCTCTTCACTCTTTGATGTTACCCTGTTGATTTGATCAGTTAAGTTAGTATTACATAAACGGGTTCTTTTTAGACTATCACTGAAACTAGAGACTGTAAATTTTAAATCATCTAATTCAGTTTCATACTGAGAGATAGGAATATTTAAAGATTCGAGAATAGAATGTACCTTGCTGATTACTCTCTTACATTCGTTGATCTGCTCTGAGACAGGTTTCGTAGCGAAGCAACTGTCTGAAGTCTTGCCGCCATCATTGGATCCTCTTTGCTCCAAAACGTCATTGCAAACCATCATTGACTTTCCCTCGTACCAAGGATCTCATCCTTCTCAATGAAGCACTCACCATGCGTAGGTCTGCGAACCTCTTCATCCTCCGAATCAGTTGACCAGACTTCAACTCTTCCGCACTCGTCGTCATCTTCCTGCACAATCAAAGCAGGCTTAGCATTGTCAGCGTTCTTCTTCTTTCTAAGATCTTCTTTCTTCCAGAAATAGTAAGCTTCATTTTTATCTTCTTCTTCTTTCTTCTCATTCAGTCTTCGCAACATGCACTCCTTGGCCAAATGATTCTTGCCATGACAATAATTGCATTCATAGCCAGAATCTCTCATTAGCTTGTTTTGTTTCTTCACTTCGTCCACCTACGAGTTGTTGTGGCTTTCATCCTTCGTCTTGTCTAAACTGTAATTCCCTTGCCAGTTCTTATTCTTGAAGCGTCCAAAGTTCTTCTTTGCAAACTTTCTGGGATTTGACACCATTAGAGCATATTCCTCTTTTGTAAGTTCGCAGTCAGAGAGATCAGACTCTGAATCTTCTTCTTCTACAACCTTCTTGCCCTTCTCAACCAGGGCCAAAGATTTTATTCCAGAAACAACCTTCTTTTCGTTTGTCACTTCATCTTCGTGGGACCTAAGAATTCCCACTAGCTTTGCCAATGAATAGTTATTAAACTGTTCATGAGCTTTTACAGTCGAAACCACTGCTTTCCATTCTGACCGCAAACCGTTCATAAACGTGACTTTTTGTTCTATTAATTCACGTTTTATCTTGTGTTTCATCATCCTACTTAAAATATGGTTGTAACGATTGAACGTTTTATCAAGCTTCTCCTCTGGCTTCTGAACAAAGGCACCAAACTCTGAAAGAAATAGCGTCTGAATGGAGTGCTCCAAATCTGCATCGCTTGAGTAGAGCTCTCGTAATCTATCCCATATCTCCTTCACTGTATCACAGGAACTCACCAGACGAAAGGTGTCCGAGGGAAGTGCAAACCTTATTATTCTCATAGCTTTGACGTTGCTCAGCTGTTTATCCTTCTCATCTTGAAGAATGTCTTTAACGTCGAGTAGAAGATCATTGTATTTTGATTGAGTTTTGATGACTTTTCTTGTTCCCATGTACATGAACGTTCCTTCTGTCATGGCTTTCCAAATCGTCGTTCCATGGTCTTCAATACCCAGAACATAGTCCTCAAAATGTAGAGCCCAAACTTCATAGTCTTGTGGGAAGAGGATAGGGATCGTGGTGGTAGATCTGATGCTGCTAGAAAGATTAAAAGATAGAGTGTGTGGATCTTCAGGTTGCATGTTGTTGATTCACTTAAACCTGTAAAGAATCAGATGTGTAAAACTTTGATCGAGTTAAGGGCAAAATAAGGATCAAGATCCAACGTCTACAATCGACAAAAACGATGAATACTGCAAGAACAGATCCAATAAAAGCGGAAAACCCTAATAACCCTCGACAGAAGAGTTACGTATGGTTTACACAATCTCCTGCTCTGATACCAATTGTTAGAATAAATAGAGTTGATCGATAGATTCTAAACAGAAAAGTAAATCAAACAATGAATGCAAAGATCAAAGTTGTATCGAATGATTAAAACTAATGCCTTAGAAGAGTTCGATGAAGAACTTCTGCTGTAAAGGCAAATTAGGGAAAAATACAATCGATCCCCTAATAAGATGCATGCATGCACTATATATAGTCTAACCCTATAATCATTAAAGACCGGGTGGACAGGCCCAACCCATTACAAAACGAACTATTCTAGTACAAAACATAATTGACACAACACAAAATATCCCAACAGATTTTCAGTAAATGTATTTGGAATAAACGGTTTTCTTCCAAATGGATTTATAAATGGGAAGCTTTACTTAAATACAATGAAAATTTTTGGTTGTGAAAATGGGACGTTACAAGTCAAAGGTTTTGTCATTTGAGGAAAAATATTTGACGTGACGTGGTGTATGGATACCCACAATGTGGCTTGGCTTTTTATGATCGCACTTTTCTGGTGAGCAATACAATGTGGCAAGCAGTGTGCCACGACGTGGTGACTGTGGCAGCCCAAGCCCATGATCTTTTAGGGTTTCTTCCGTATTTAAAGCCTCTAACTTCAAGGTTAGGGCATCCTCTTCAGCCTCCAACCTTACTAAATGAAACCCTAGCCTCCCTTTCACCACTTTGAGGCCCCTCTCCTCTTTCATCCATTTGTGAATCTTGTCATTGTATTACCTATGTCATAGTGGTGCGCATGCTAAACTAGCTGAGTCTTATTTGTTGATTGTTGTTATATGTGTATTTGAGTTGCTGATAACTCCAAGATTGTTGATAGTCTGTTGGGTTGCTGATAACCCACATAGTTGTTGATAACCCATAGGGTTGTTGTGAGCCCATAGGATTGCTGATAGTCTTAGGGTTGCTGATAACTCATAGTTGTTTATATTGTTGTGTTGTATGTGATATTTAGGACTGTTGATGGTCATCAGACTGCTAATAGTTCTAGTGTTGCTGATAACTCATAATTGGTTATTATTTTGTGTTGTATGTGATATTTTGGGGAACTCACTAAGCTCTATGTTTACAGTTGTTGATTAAATGTTTTTAGGTACTTGTCGAATTGCGAAGGCAGTATTATACACACATCAACCGTTTTATAATTTGAGATTCCGCATTGTCTTCCTTATAACTCTGATTTTGAATAATAGCTTATGAACAATTGGTCGACTTGACTCTAACTTTAATAAAAATTGATGTTTATTCTATTTTAAAAATGAAAAATGTATTCTGAAATTTGGGGCGTTACCGATTTATTTTATTTTTTTGTGAATAATACTTAATGTCATACATAATAATTATATATTGTAAACAGATAAGGTAAAAGGGTTGGGGGTTGGATATATGTTGATTCAGTGGATAAGAATATAAGTTTGATTATTAACCATATGGATTGTATCAGAGTTTGAAATTGCTGGATTTGTATCATATTTTGAAATTTGTTAAAAAGACTACACCCTGATATATCTAACAATTATTAGGCCGAAGATGATGTTTGCAGTTGGTTTTCTAAGCATGGAGCATGCTTAGCTAAAAAGGGTGCCACATAGGCGTCACATAAACTTTTACCATTTTTGCAACATTTTGCCTATGAGTGGGGTGTGGTGGTTTTTTTGCCAATAGTATATATAGTGGTATTTATGTTAAAAAAAAATTGCAATGACCAATCAGGAAACAAAAAAGGGTTCACCATTGAGATTTGTCATCGCCTATCAGTAGACCTGGCAAAACCTGACACGACACGACAACCCGTCACGAAGTTAGCAGGTTTGCGTAAGATATTTCGATACGTTTATGTAGACGGGTTGACACGACACGACATGATAATTAAACAGGTAGGGTTAGGGTCATGACTTTCAACTCGAAGATGACTCGAATATGACCGTTTAGTTATATATTATTTTTATAAATATATTATCTATTATAGACTTGTAGTGGATCAAACTCAATAATTAAAAATAAAATTCAAACTTTCAAAGTGACTTAATTTATTCATCCTCACCACCTATCTCATTTGGTCCCCAACTATAACTCTTTTTATTTTGTTTTTTAAACTTACTATGGATTTTTTTTCATTCCACCTCCCAACTCCAGTGTTTCACTTTTTATTTTTCGTCTCCCCGTCTTCTACTTTCCAACCTTTTAAAATGTTTCAACCCGACATGACACAACATATTTACAAAGTCTAAACCTTAACCCGAAATCCGACACGAAATCGACATGAAAATAAATAGGTTGACACGACACGACACGATAATTAAACGGGTCAGGTTATGGTCAAGCTCTCTCAACCCGTTTAATGCCTTGACAGAACACGAACCCGACACGACACGACACGTTTAATGTTGGTGAAAGTTTACCATTGAGATTTACCACCGGCAAAAAAAAAAGATGGAAAAATATCACTGTAGCACAACGGACTTATGTGTTTGGTCCAATTTGACCATTTATGTTTTTTTATTGCGAAATAGGTCATCTAACTTTTATTGTACATGTCAATTAAGCCATTCTCGTTAGTTTTTAACCATTCCCCCGTTAACAAGTTATTATAAATTGCACAAATGGCCCCTGTGGTTAAATTCCTTTCGTAGTTGGTCCTTACCAGCCCTAATTCTTTACTTTCTCGTTATCCCTAATTCATCCCTCGGAATTCCCAATTGTGAATGGTGGAAATCTTCTGTAATCGCTTGATGATCTCCCCCTTTCCTCGAGGGGGATCTCTGCTCTTTCCATTGCTTTCTCCTTCGGATCTTGCAAGGAGGGCTGGTATCACCGTTGCGTCGGAGTTGATCAATGAATCTGTAATCGTTACACCCAACGACACTCTCATACCACCTTGTTTCTTGTTTTATCTTATTCGATTCAATTTGCTTAATTGTTTTGTAATCGGTATGTTTAGAAGGAAAACGATTTTGTATTGTGTTTTGATTCGAAGAAAAGATGTTGATGTATAAGCAAAAGAAGAATTAGACTGGGAGAGGCGGCGAAAGTCGGCTTCTGATTAGCATTACCGTTATCGGAAGCGCCAGACCGATTCGTTTTGTGGTTAACGGGGAGGGGCTTGTTGCTTCCTTCATGGACACCGCTTTCAAATCTTACGCACTTGAAGGATGTCTCCCAATACTCGGTTCCAATATCCATGATTTCGCTCTCTATTGCCCAATCGTCGGAACCGAAGGTATTATCACCAACTTATTTTTCTTAGGTCCAACTAATTCTTTCTGATAATTTGGTTGTAGCTTTGAGTCCATTGAAGACTATCAGATCATTTGGGGTTAGAAACTTTATGAATGCAAGAAGCCTCAGGCGATAGAGGAAGGTTGTGATGGAAAACCGACGACGGTGGAAATAACGAGGAAGAACTCAAGCAGGTGGAAATCGTGGTTCAATAAATCACACAGTTTCAAAGTTTCTTCTCATTGAATTCTTGATTAATGCAATGTAGGGAACTTATCTTCCCCAATTTGATTTATAATTTCAGAATTTGATTTGTTTCACTTTTCTCTGTTTTGATAATTTGAATTTGGTTTCCCAGTTGAATTCTTAATTATGCAATGGTGAGAAGGCAGAGGGCGGTGGTTCACCGGTGGTGGTTTCCGTTGGCAGGTGGGTTTCCGATGGTGGTAGGTGATGATTGACATTCACAAGTGGTGGTTGGAGATCAAGTGTTTCAACTGTTTTAGAAGGAGGGACCAAGCACAAAAGATACTGAAATCATAGGGATCATTTTTGTAATTTAGAATAATTAGTTAACAAAGTATCTCTTAAAAACTAACCAAAGTGACTTAGTTGACATGCACACTATAAGTTAGATTACCTATTGCGCAAAAAAAATACATAATTGGTCAAGGACCAAACACATAAGTTCCTTGTGTTACCGTGACATTTTCCCAATGTTCCCAAAAACATTGGACGTACCACCAGCAAAAATGCAACTTTGTCATTGGAAAAGCCCTCCCTCGCCGTTTAGTTTTTATATATCAATTCCAAACGAAGAGATCAAACGAGTACTCTGCGGTAGTTCATCGAAGGTATATTATGTATGGATTGAGTTCGTGCAATCTCGAGTCGGTATCAACAAAATCAGTGCGTAATCTTTTACCAATTTTAGAAGAGATCTTATTATTTAAAAGATAAAAAGAAAAATTAAAAGTGAAATAAACAAAAGCTCTGGACCGGCTTTTCTTTGCTTAATAAAAAAAAAAAAAACGGATCTTTATCATCAAATCAAATGTAAAGAAACCCCCCCTTGAAATTAAAATAGCCAAACACCACACGAATTAAAAAAAATAAAAGTACCATAACCACCTTGAAGAACACGAGAAATGGCTTTAATTGGATTTGGTTAATTCGAATCTATCAAGTTCAACATTTAATGGACATAATTAAGGGGAACTGATATACCAGAACCATATTTTTTTTCATTATAACTTGTGCTTTCTCAAAGCAATTGATAAAAACGCAGGGTAACTAAGAACAGATCAAAAACAGAACACAACAACAGTGCGAAAATTGAAAATACCAAACCAGATCCCGATAGTCTACAAATGAATATCTAATCTAATTTCTCCAGTTTCCTTCGGAATCACCGCCTCCCCTGGAGTAACGGGCTCCACCATCACCACCGCCGTATCCACGGTCACGTCCTCCTCCATATCCACCGCCTCCTTCACGGCGGCCACCATAACCACCACCTCCACCGTATCCGCCTTCACGTCGGCCACCGCCTCCACCGCTGCGGAATCCACCGCCACCGCCGCCGCCTCCACTGCGGGACTGAGCCTCGTTGACGGTGATGTTACGTCCGTCAAGGCTCTGGCCGTTCATCCCTTCGATCGCGTCTCTCAAAGCTTGCTCCTCCTTGAAGGTAACGAATCCAAATCCCCTAGATCTGCCAGTCTCCCGATCGTTGATGATCTAAACAATACCAAAAAAACACAATCAGGATCCGAAACCAATAATTCGTATTCAACAAACTGAAACTGCATCATAAAATCGATCGATCGTCGTCTCTTATAACAGAAGAGGATGAACGTACCGCTTTAGATATCAGTAAAAGTAACACAAATAGTAACAGATCAAGAAAACCATAGTAACAGTAACAGTAACAGAGAGATTTGTATCGTGTGATTTGTCAAACAGAGCCGAATCGGGATCGATCCGAATCCGAACTCTGCGACAAACGGACCTTCGAATCGATGATCTCGCCGTATTGAGAGAATGCTTCTTCAAGTGATTGGTCAGTAGTGGCCCATGCGAGGCCACCGACGAAACATCTGTACTCGACGTCTGCTGAAGCCATGTATGTATGGATCGAGAGAAAAGCTGAGAGGAGGCTCTGAAAGAAGAAAAGCGAGTGTGAGTTGCCAAGAGTGGAAATGGTGGGCTTTTATAGGCGAAGGGAGGTTCCCATTGACCACGATTTGCTAACCTGTTCGCGGTGCGTAGTGCGCTTCTGGCTTGCTGTTGCTCTAACCATGGTTGGGGTTATGGGGTATACGCTCGAACGTATCCATTTTTAAGAGTTTTTTTTGTTTTTTTATTTTTCACGTAAATTACTACAATATAATTAGAATATGTGAATTAAGTAACAAAATAAAAAAAAAAGTTATTGCGATAATTTGGTAAACGTTCTGTGCATGATTATATAAATTTATAAGATATTTATTCCATATTAGTTTAGTATATAGACAAATTTTAACTCTTAGCGAAGAACAATAATTATATAATTATTATTGCAATAAATTGTTAAGTCTGCAAATTAGAATATGATTATAAATTACAAATAACAATAATTATATTTTTATTATTGCAATAACTTGTTAAGCGTTCTGTAAATTAGAATATGATTATATAAATTTCTAAGAGGTTTAATTATTCTATTATAAGTTTGGTATATAAACAAATTATTAACTCTCAACAAATATCAATAACATATTTTAAATAAGTTTATAAAAATATATTATATGATAGGTTAATATTATTATTAAAAAGAAAAAAAAAACTTTGTATATTGGTTTTTTTTTAATTAAATCTAATCTTCATTTTGTTTTATTTTAGAAATAAAAAGTTGTATTTTTATCTTTTCTTTTTCGATTTTTCCATTTTAACATGTTATCTTTCTGTTAGGGACAATCTTTTTTACGAAAAATTTCTCAAACTTTTTTATTTTTGGAAAAAACCTATAACTTACACATTTAACAAATTTTTTCGTAAAAAAAAAAAATTTTAAAAAGTTGATATCTTTTTCTTAAAAAAAACAAGGGGTTTCCAGCAAAAAAAAATGTTTAAAACCAAAAATATTACCAATACACTGCTAAATGGCCAAATTGAAATACAAAATCATTTTCAAAGAAAAATAAAGTTAAAATTTAATTAGAAAAAAAAAAACTTTATATATAATTTTTTTTATGATATTAACCTTAAATCATAATTAAATTAGTTTTTATGTTAAAAGTTCGACGTAATTATCTAATTATGTATATTTGTAGTTTATAAAAGAAAAATATTTGGCTTGCTGCTTAAAATAACTATAACGTTTCTTTTCAAATATTTATTTTTAACTTTACTAAAAGATCATTTTCTTTTTTTGTTAGTTTGATTATATCTTGTAAGTTTTTTATTCTTAAAACGTTTTGCATAGTTATGAGCATATATTTTATTCAACTATGTGGTCTAGAACCTGTCTCAAGTCCTTATCAGAATTGAAAATACTTCTAATAAACACTTGATAAAATTTAAATGTTATACAATTCACTAATATATCATAAAATCTAGCCAGCCGTCCATTCAAAAAAATAAATAAAATGGTGTAAAATGTTTTTTTTTAATTTATTTTAGGATTTTTCGTTGGGAAATGGCTTTTGGGACGGCATACGGGTAGCGGGTAGAGTATATGCTTTGAGATTGAGATATGATATGTAGGAGTAGTTGGGGACTTGGGGGTTAGGTGAAAGTTGGGACCACGGTTAAAGACTAACCACGGTTAAATATCACAGATATTTTTCTTTCTTTTTTTCTGGTAGGGCCAGATCACGTGACGCCGTGATTTACGATAAGGAAGATATTTTTGACTCCCAAGTTGGCTGACGTCAGAAGGCGTGTTACATATCAACAGTTATGATCACTGCCATATCCACGTGTCCTCCTTTTTCATTATTTTCCGATTCACATGCACCTTGCATTTTTTTTTTTCAACTACAAATTTTATTTCAAAATGTGGGGTATACATTAAAGTCCCAATATTTTCATCGATTTGAAAAGAAAGTCCTAAACTTTATTTTTTTGACAGTAAAGTCCAAATTACTGGCATTTTTTGATACTTTTACCCTTTTTTCCCGGTTAGCCGGTAGTTAGGATTTTTTTGTCAAAAAAATAAAGTTTATGACTTTCTTGTCAAATCGTCAGTTAGAACTTTATTGTCAAAAAAATAAAAGTTTAAGACTTTCTTGTCAAATCGTTGAAAGTATTAGGACTTTAGTGTATATATCCTTTTTTTGTAAGAAATTTAATGGTATGATACTCTTTAAGCATAAGAGTTATTAAAACCTTCTGTAGTCAGCTAGATCCTATTGAAATCCTTAACATTTGCTTATTGTTAAATCGTTTTTTTAATCTCAACAAACCGACATTGAAAAAAATGGAGATAATCAAGAAAGAAAGAAAGAACCAGGGTTGTGTTGGCTTTTTTTGCAGTCCCAAAAATGGAGAAATAAGAAACCGAAAAAAACGAAATTGCTCTGGCTTGATACAAACACAAACAACACATGCCTAGTCAAAAGGGTGTGAATGTGGAGAAGGGAAAGAAGGGCAACTTCGTTTTTTTCGGTTTCTTATTTCTCTATTTTTGGGACTGCAAAAAGCAACACAACCCTGGTTCTTTCTTTCTTTCTTTCTTGATTATCTCAATTTTTTTCAATGTCGGTTTGTTGAGATTAAAAAAACGATTTAACAAGAAGCAAACGTTAAGGATTTCAATAGGATCTAGCTGATTAGAGAAGGTTTCAATAACTCTTATGCTTAAAGAGTATCATACCATTAAATTTCTAACCAAAAAATTATATATACACTAAAGTCCCAATATTTTTAACGATTTGACAAAAAAGTCCTAAACTTTATTTTTTTGACAGTAAAGTCCTAATTGACGATTTAACAAGAAAGTCCTAAACTTTATTTTTTTTGAGAAAAAAGTCCTAATTATCGGTTAACCGGGAAAAAATGGTAAAATTGTCAAAAACTGCCGGTAATTTGGACTTTACTGTCAAAAAAATATAGTTTAGGACTTTCTTGTCAAATCGATGAAAATATTGGGACTTTACTGTATATATCACTAAGTTTAAAATCCAATTAAATGTTAAAAATATAAATTAAAAACATATTTTGATTATACCGATAAAATAACATATATTTTTTTATTAAATTAGCAATTATATATCCACTAAAGAAATTGCAAGATGTCGAAAGATATAACTTTTCAAACATTACATTATTACATTAGGTTGTAAGAATTGATTTTTGAGTAAATTATACGGATGGTCCCTGTGGTTCGAGGTAATTTGCGT